GATAAAATAGGTCCCAATTTGTGTTTGCTTTTAACAAGAAACATGATTTGAGGACTTGGAAGATACTGGATGTTATATATTGTAATGTGGTGTTCCATTGTAACAAAATGAATTTTGATTCGATAATTCTAGATGGCGAAAAACTAACGTGTTTTGAAACATTTTTTATGTTGACACTTTTTTTATAATTCTGGTTATACTCTGTTTAATTATCGTTATAGATTTTCAAATAAAGTGAAAAAGGAAAGGGTCCAAATTATGTAGCGACTGTCTTTTATTATTGGAACACTCTGGAACATTTACGATATATATCATAAAACGGTTACCTACATATCCAAGATCCAAGAAATAAAATATCGTACTTCTGCTTGTAGCCCCCTTTTTATTTATTGCATTATATAAAAACCCTATAAACAAATATATTCCACCACTTAAGGGCTAGCCCCTAGTGTAATATTTCCGGTGAATTTACTTCATTTCCAATTTTCGTTTTACATATTTTCTGGACCGCTTGTAGAGAGACGATCTGTTTCAATTTATAGTCCTTTGCAAGGGGTGTTCTCACGAAAAGTTCAGTTGGGTTAAAATCTTATTCTTATATTTTTTGCGCACGCAACCAGTTTGCCAGTCTTTGTACGTATGAATGATCAATATCCAAAAATTTGCATCACTCTTGTTTTCGAGCTCCATCAACGATTTGCAGCCTTTTCTGGTGCACCAGGAAAATTTAGTCCCCATTCCCCGAGCCTGTAAAATTTAATTGGCTCAGATTTTTCCGGCCGGCCTGGCTTGATGTGCGTCCTACTGGGAAATTAATTTCATCTGCTTTTGGCCGCATTATTCAGATGTCGTGTGAAGATGACATTGCGCGCAAGAACTGAAGCACCATTTGTTACACACGAACAATGATAGTGCCGGTTGGAACACACTGGCGAAACAGAAACGGCCGAGATATATGAATTCGCTGCTCATTTTGCGCTGCAAAAATTGCGAGTGTGCATTTTAATTCCTTTGCGAGGGAATATCATCAGGGACATTGCTTCCCGGGTAATTACTCATGAAATATGACACTGAGGCTGCGTTTATGGAAATATATTGTCGGTTTGTGTAAATAAACTAGATTTTTCGCGGAATGATATTACCACCAGCAATATTTATAAGTGCTGCTGGGTTAGAGTTAGTTACGAAGATTATAATTATAGACCAGGGCGGATCTGTTTTGAGGTGGATGTGAGCAAGCAAATTTGTTCTATATTACCTTCAGTACAACTCACATAATAAAAGTGTAGATCCTAGATCTGGGCGAGGTCCGGAACATTTTCAAAATTGCAAAAATGTAAAAAATTTTAAAAAATACCTATTTTAACTGAGTTTTTTACTTATATCTCGGAACCTATGCATTTGGGAAAAATATTGAAGAGGAAAAAAAGTTTTAGAATTGAATTTTGCACAATATACTGTAAGTTAAAAATATTTAAATTTATTACCAATGTTGCAAAAATAGCAATAATTGATGAAAAAAAGGGGCATAATAATCAAGTTTTTTTGGAACATTTTTTAAAAATATTTTAATTGCTCTGAGGGCATTCTAATTTTGGTAAAAAAAACTTTAAAGTATAATAAAACAACACACCAAAATTCATGTTGTTTTATTATACTCTAAAGTTCTTTTTACCAAAATTAGAATGCCCTCGGAGCAATTAAAATATTTTTAAAAATTATCCAAAAACTTGATTATTTTGCCTTTATCGGGCTTCAACTTATATCTACGATATTGCAAGATAACAAAAAGCTTAGAAATTAGATGATGTAACAAAAAATTAATTAAATTTGATCATATCATATTCTGATACACCTCTTTCGTGGTTTTTACTGTTAACTTCTCTGTCCTTCTCCTATATTGCTTTTCTTTCACTCTTGCCAGTAGCGTGAATTAAGGTTGGTGGTACGGTAAGAGTGAACTTAGGATAATTCCCTGAGGTTTCCTTTATGTTTTTTTCCAACTTAATATCAGGGTCAAACTGCTGTGTTGCCATCAGACTCCCAAGGGAGTCGTATAAGCAAAGATACGAGGGGGAAGGAGTAGAGAGAAACCTAAAAAACGGGAATTATCCTTGAAGTGCCCAGAAGATATACAGCGCGTTCCTTACCGGCTCATTTTTTTTAAAATTCAGTTTGTATTTTACAGAGAATATTCTTTCTTAAAGGGATTACTAAAGGTGCAATTATATGGTACACGGCTTGCCAAATGGCGAACCTCAAACCACAAGCCGTTTGATATAAAGGGTTCTATGGGTTGTGGCTCTTGTATTGTTCCCCATGTTGTATTGGTGCTGATGATCGTTGAAAAGTGGGATGTGACACATTGCAAAATACATTTATATATTTACTATACTAAATACAAATATATACATAGGCTATAAAATATATATTTTAGTTTATAGAATATTAAAAAATTCGGAAATCATTTGCTATGAAATGGGAGATTTAAGAATTGTATTGATTTTAACATTCTGACAATAGAACATACTGCCAGCACGAGTTGTATTTCTACGAACCCGCATATCGAAGGATCCCGGTAGAGACGTTCAGTCAACATTGTCCTGAGAGTTTGAATAGGAAAGATAAACTATTAAATATTCTTCTAGTCTACAAAGACTACATTTTACATCGGTCTAACAGCGGCCCATTTTCGTAACTAGTATTTGGATAATAACCATCGATTCGAAAGCTTAAAAACTTAAGAAAACAACGTTGAATTCTTTCAAGTTTGTTAGTATATCTCTGGTAGTACAGGCATTTTAACGTAGCAACTTTGTTAAATAATCTTGAATTCCTGTTTATAAAACTCAAAACTCCATAGATCACACCAAAATCCTTAATATTATGATAACGTTAAAACTATAATAAAATATTAGCGGTTCTTTATTGGAAGTAGACAATCGAAGACACTTATCTGTATCAGTGGGTAATTGAATCACACAGATGATGATGGTCTACATGAGCTCTCAGTTCTAGTAGTATTAAACAATTGTCCAAACTAGTTACTAGTTACGTAAATATATATCGTTAATAAATGAAATAGAAAGAAGTGGCCCTAAATTGGGTCTTTGTGGCACTCCTGATGTCGCTATGAAATTGTCAAATGTAAATCCGATGATGAAATGTCTAATTCACGTTGTGAAAGACAGGATTTAATAAGGAGAATGAGATTGCCCCTTTTATATAATTATCTTTGTGAGAAATTTGTTCACACCATAACAACTTGTTCTTTGTTGATGTATACTGAATAAATTGAGCTAAATTCTAAGTTCCTATTGAGCTAAGTTCTAAACTAAATAATATTCTAGTAAAATCAGTTCAGGTGGACTGATGAAATGTGAAGCATATTATGCCATTGAGTACCGCAAATAAGTTGGACTAATGCGTGTACAGTTTAAGGCAGACTCTTTGCCAACATATCTGGCGTATTCCAAAAAGCTTAATTAGAACTCTGGGATACATTTGTATCACTCCATGAATATGCATGGATAACCGTTAGAGTTTATGCTTAAAATATTGCGTAGTGCCGCAGTGTCCCGCGTTTTTGTTGTTTTTGCCGAGCGCGTTACACACGCTGGAAATGAATGCATCCTGAGAAAAGACATGTTTCATTCGCGGAGTTTATTTTTGCCCCGCTCGAAAATGTGCCGGCAGGAGGTATTTCTTTGTTTGGCTGCGCCGGATGACCGACTGGAAATTTGCAGTGCATTTCGGCCTCGCGTTCGGGGCGATTTAAATATTCCGAGTTAGCAGTTCCGCGCAATTTGGGTCGAAGTAGATCTGTATAAATTTGCTCAGCACCGCGCATGGTTTTTTTTGTTGCGCCGGAAGCAATTTTGAACCAGTCGGAAGGTTTTGCATGCATTGGAATTAATATCAAGTTCTCAGCCCAATATTTATTCATAGACGGGATATTTTAGTTGCCGAGGAAGTTCCAGCGTTTCATAAAAAAAAAATAGATTGAAAATGGTTTCCGGAAGTTGAACTTATAAATGAGTAATACGGAACGTATTCTCCAAACTTGTAGAGATGTTTTAGTTGGGGTATAGGATTTTTTATTACAAAAAACAATCCGGGATGAGGGATAGGAAACATTTACTCTGATTTCGGTAGAAGAAGAACTAAATATGAACTTTTTTAGAGTATCTTTATAATTGCTGTTATCTTCGAGTGCACTTAATCATTTTTCATTCAAATATTGTCATAAACACCAGTTATTTAGCGTAGTTCAAGAAGAAATACCTAAAGCAGTATTTTGTTTAGTATTTTGAATACTGAAAGAACAGAATTCACGAAATTTGACTTTCTGGATTTCTATTTTAAGGCGGCACCAAAACGAACCCAGTTCCTCGGATTCCTCTAGTTCCTTGCACTGGCTTCTTGCAACTCCAAAAAACCTAACGGCCTGAGCAGCGCGGGAATTTTAATTACCCCCCATAATTCAGCGCGTAATACTGGTGTGCTGTTACGACCTATCGGTGGAAGGTAGGCATGATTGCCAATTATAGCAACAGGAGTTACGGCCCTTCAAATGAGGTTATTTATTGGTACGTGCGTGAGATTTATAATAGCGCTGGTCTTTGCTCTTTAATACCACCGTAATGAGGCCCGTGGAACCTGATCGACATTGAAACAACCGCGATTGCTCTCTAATGGATGTAGATTTTACCCCTTAGTGCGGGAGCTTTTTTTGGGGGGCGCTCAGGGCGGAGCGGAAGGCTGATATGCACTGAAAATTAAATTCATTGAATTAAAGAAGGGCGTCTCAAATTTCTAGACAAAGTCTGTAAAATTAAGTTTGATTAATCGATTTTATTCTACAATTCTTTTGTAAACTTATACTACTAACTTAGTTGCATTGGTTACATCAGACGAAAGTAACGCTTTATGTAGAATTAATTAGAGTCGTGCAAGTTCTATCCTCGGTTCACAGTTACTTGACGCTGTTTTTGTTTCAGGTGGAACTTCCCCAGTACCAGCAACAGTAAACCGAAATTTAACATCAGTGACTTCCTCAAAGCAGGGAAACATTTCCGAGAACAAGGTAAGGGCCAAAGGAAAATCAGGACCGTGTAGGTATACTACCCCAGCTGATGCTGTAACCGGAACAAACTTAAATTTTGCATTCCCGCGAGTTGCAAATATCCCCAGGGGATATCGTTTCCTGAGACACCAGCAACAAAATTTGTAGGCTTGTTTGAAGTACCTGAGAGAGTAGAAGGGAACATTGACACGTGTATAACGTTTCAATACGAGCTATTAAATATACTAGAGTGAATAGAGCTTAAATACAATCAATAAAGATAATTACAGTTTCCTGTTTACTTCAAAAAAATTTGCAGCCACAACCATTCATCCCTTTTTATGAAGTATGTAACTAAGTTCCCAACAAGTTGTCACAGTTTTGGTTATCATTGATTTGAAGATTTGTTTATATTGCAAAATAATATAATTTTAACAGTTTATAAAAGTTGTTTCAATAAAAGTAATTACGTAATATTTAAAGTGAGGGGTTGCAATACCTTGTTAAGTATTTAAGTGCAAATTAAAAAAGTTTAAAAACTTTAGAAAAGCAGTTCTATATTATCAGAAGGCAGACAACTTCTACAGCAACTTTCATTTGATATAAAAAACTGGCAAAAATAAAATCAGAAAGAAAAGTATCGATCTCAAATAAAGTGCTGTTAGCTCAAACGTTCGTATAAGTACTCACGATTCACATACCAACAGTGGAATTGAATTTAAAAGCTGATTTACGGAATTTAAAACTTACAAGGCCAAAGCGCACTCGGATCTAAGAATTGCATTAAGCAAGGCAAGTGCAAGCTCGTTTTTGTTTCGCCATTGTTAAATATCCCATCTAAGGCGCATCTGCTACGTTTTATGCGATGGATCGTGGGGTATTGTCGAAAGGAATTGCTCATAAAACGAGAAATTGTCTGATGAATGAATATCTTTCGTATCTCCACAGCACGATAAACATCCGATGCTATTTCAGCATGCCCTTGATACACCATAATGTATCGGATTATTCGCCTGAAATTGTTAAAATTTTATTTTGCGTCACAGGGGGAACGCTTTTGCCTTGAACTTTATTACATACTGACCCATATCAGTTTTATTGGCTTGTATGTAACAGTTCGATTTGAGAATGATCCTTGGAAGAATTATGTTGTGAGCGAATCATTCAAAGTGAATTCATTGGGAATTCAATAAATGTTTACACATTGTACTAAAAATGAAATATTTCTTCATTTTTAGAAACTGGAATGCTGGAATTGAACCTGTTTTACTTTTTGTTCATCCAGGATAAGTGTTAATGAATGAAAAACAAAATGAACAATGTAAACAGTACGTTTACTAGAAGGATTCGATGAATTATGACATTCAATCAGCATTCATGTATGAAAAGTATTCTGTGTTTATGTAATTCGCAGTTGGTCAGTTGATTAAGTGGGACAATGCGGGGTCGGACTACGTTTCGCGTAATAATAAATCGTTTATTTTCACGTCCTCTTGAAAGCAACGCATTTATTTCACAACCAGCATTTTTGAAATATTGAAATATTAACGCGGATGCCTCTTACAATAAAGTTATAAGCAGAATGCAATATAGACGAAAGTTATTACCCCCCCGTACCAACATAAAATAATAAAAAGCGACTCTAAAATCCGCTGAATAATTCATCAGAGTTACGAGCTTCCTTAGTATGTATTTATGTTAAGGAATACATAAATGTGATTTAAAGTAGCGTCATTCTCGCGAACTCCACTTTTTCAAATAAGTTTTATTTTGTTATACGTACATGTCACATAAAACTTTATGCCGTGCAGTAAAGAATTCAGTTACACCCCCCTTTCCATTATATGTGGAATATAAAATTATTTCCTCCTCCGCCTGCGGACCTAAATTTGTTACGACCAAGTGACAAAAAGCGCCACTAAATAACGATAAAACCATTATTATTTTATTAGTTTTAGTAATACTGCTATTCTGCGTATTCTAGTAGATCTTTATACCTTATCTATCATGTAGTACAATATGTTGTTGATTTTTAAGTAAAATTATACAGAACCCCTTTCAGTCATTGATAAAAAACGCAGTTAATTTCATATTTTCCTTGCAGATAACCTAGCTTTGGGCTTTGTTTCAGATATTTGGCTAAATAGTAACAGTTGGCAACACTTGACGCCGCTCATTATTTTTTTCTGCTATTTCTATGCAACTTTTTCTAAGATAATTTTATAGGCTTCTTTCGTCTCATTACCAATAAATCTCCAGATTGGTAAGCGCCCTGCATATTTGAGAACCTTAACAATACCAACTGTTTTCATTTTCCTTTCCTTTAAATTCGTCTGGCATTTGTTGCGTCTACCAACGCAAACTACCTTGTACTGGATACAGTCAGCTACAGAGACAGCACTTTTACTTGAACCCCTGTCGTTCCACACCCCTCCCGTAGGCTTTTTTCTTTGTGCTATGTGCTCGGGACACTGAGAATAGTATTACAGCCCTAATAGATTCGCCGCTCGGTTCTTTATTTGATTATCGCGGAACGAGTAGCGTACATGGATGCACCGAGTCGGAACCAATAAACGGGCTTCGTGGGGTCCTTGCCTGTTACTTTTGTTTACTGGGTTTCGAGACGGGATCGGTATCTGGAGAGTATAAGGAATGGGGATGCGAATGGAGCAGTTCGGTATAGGAAACTTATTATCCGGAATGTGGCTTCTGCCGCCGCATGCAATCGTCGAGTGCAAGATACAAAGTTGCGGAACTTACAATTAGAGCGCTCTGGAAGGTTAAGGTAGTGGTGGACATGATGTTCTAAGATTTGTAGGTAAGAAAGATTGATGAAAGATTCTGTCTTTAAAAAATTCTTAATAAGCTTCCTAAATTGAAGGAAATAGTTGCCATAAGAAAAAAAAAGCAAAATCAAGATGTTATACGATGTGATGTCTGACCAAATTTTAGTAGATGACAGAATTAAAAAAATTATATATATTAACTAAAATACGTCGTAAAAAATAAAAAGAAATTAGTAATGCAGCGCATTCTTGAATTACAAAAAAGAATATCTTTTATAGAGCTGAATTTATTAAAATATTTTTAAATACTATCAGCAACTCACACTCTCCTTCTTAGGAGTTTACACATAACTCTGGTCTATTGAGAACAATAATACAATATTTTTAAGCTCGAATCATTTTACCCTGCAAATAAGCTTCCGCTCTGGGGAATTTAATGGATTGGAAGGCGGCAACGGGGGGATATTTTCTCAATAGCACGCTATCTAGAGGGAATTAAAGAGATATCGCAAACCACGATAGGCATTTACATTCCAAATCTGTATACGTTACGGATATTTTCGGTATATCCGATTTGGTTTCCTGGAGAACGGATTCTTCCTAAAATATAGTAAAGAAAATTCCTATGACATTACAAATGTTTATTTTACTGCAAACATAGAACTGACGTAGAGCAGAAAATTTAGATTTTATGCATTGAACTGGGTATTTCTTGTAGTTCATTTTGTAATGTGTTCCTCGACAATCGTTACCGAGACGCTATTGTCTGTTTTCTTATTTCGCAAGCGTTTAGAACAAATTTTCTACTGGAGTATGTTGACTGCCAATGTAATAAAACTCAAGGGAGGAGCAAACTACATTCCGATAAAAGGGTTGTACCTTAAACTTATCTACATTGAAAAAGGTCAGTAAATAAACCCAAAATATTGTTCAAACAGTCAAAAAATATAATAAAAGCGACAAAAAAACAAAACTTTGGTTTATCTCTTCGAAAAGCAACAGTCGATTGTTTTTTTTATATATATATTTCTTTGAACTCTAAAATTGTGGTCTTTACCGTGATTTCCTGGCTTTTGTGAATAACCTGTTTTGACAAATGTATCGCTAACAAATTGGAAATAGTTTTCCTCCTGCAAATAACTTAATTTCTCAGTAAATTCTAGCAACTAACTCTGATTGGATGCTTCCAGATTGTGTACAATTTGCTCAACTGGAATGTTTACATGCAAACACTGAAATTTACTATCTAACTGTTATTTCCAGTTGCTGAGCTAACCCAAAGGTAGTGTGTAAATTGTTTTTCAGGTAATATGTTGCTCACTATAACATCTCTGCATTCAGACTTTGTTAGCTTAATATTAGAGCAAGTTATTTTCTTATTAATAATACAATTAAATTTATAAAACAAAAATAAATTAACTTAATATATTCATTCTGGCAAATTCCTTTAGCATTTTAATAAAAGATAAATATCTGTAATCTCGGAGAAATCAGTGAAATATTTCATCATCTCTAAGCTCAACAGGAAACCATACCGAGACATTAAATTGCACCCCTTTTTGTTGTAATCTGGCCGTCGGGAATTAATTTGTAATACCATCTTAACTACACAATTTAAATGACTGAGAATTATCACTTAATATTTAAATAAGTCGTAAAATATGATACCGTAATATTATACAATTAATTATATAGTGTACAGCCTTTAGCTGACTGGTTTTATGTTTTCATTTAATCTGGCTCCAGGCCATTTACAGCAAACGGCCGACATTTTAAGCTAAATAGATAATATTGGATGACAAATTACATAAAGCACCTACATAAAATGTAGTAGTGTTAGATTTTTACGTATATATATCTCTGATATTGACTACCCTCGAATATGCAGAACTGTAAAATGTAATAATTTAGTTTATATATGAACAAGCTACGAGTCAGTCATGCTATGAGAAATACTTTATACCTATCTGTTTCATTTTCCTACATTATATTTTCAGTTCAATGCACATCCTTTAAGATTTTTTAAAATGAAATAGTTCATATTATTTTTTGTTTAACAAAAACCGTCTGTATTTCTATTTGTATTTGCACTCCTTGTGAGGAAGAACATTTTTCTTGTTTCTAGGCAACACAATTGACAGAGGCACACGGCTTTTATAATGTCTTGTACGTGGTATTCATTTGAATCAACAAATGGAAGTCATAACTTTTAACAATCGTACAAAGGTAATTTGT